CTGTAAAAAGGCAAGTTCCTTGCTCACAGGTAACTTTTTATAGTTGTTACTAATGGCTTTATTCATGGTTTATAGATCATATGATAAGCCTTTATAGAAAGCATTAACAGGAAGAAGGTCTGGGTTGCCAGGTCAGTGTTTATCGACCTCAGGAAGGACATCACATTGTCGTTCTAGTGCTTTAATCAGGCAGTGTCTGACCTGTACATCTCACACTCTTTGCTGTACTTGTGGTTGATGTCGTTGAGAATCTGAGGAGAGGAATAGCACAGCGATGTGATCCCTTTGTCCTTTTTTGGCTTTGTCAGCGACGTCTCTGTTTTCGCCAACTCAAAACCTCCCAACTGTACGAAAACACACAACAGCTCAGGACTTTGTTCACTTTCCCTCAAAATATCACCCTTTCTGAGAGCTGGTAGCAATCCCAGCATGCACAGGCATCAGTACCTTGACTCTGTAGCCTTCAGCCACCAGGAACTTGCTGCTGTTGATGCATCCATGCACCTTACTCTTTTCTTCAGTCTGGTGCAGCCTGAGAGCCAACACAGACGCTCATTAGTGTGATTTATTGTCATCAAATCATCTCATAATAAGTTGCAAAATTGCTCTAATCAGTGCCTCTATGTTAATACTGAATCACATTAGTGAGAAGGCTCCATTTGCAGTTGGGAAACCACAGTAACTTGTCACCAACTGTTCACAGCTTTTTAGCTTGTTGTTTTGCTTTTATGGCATGTTTACCATTTAGTCCAGCAGCTGTTAAAGCCACTGGCCACTGCCTGCTCAGCAGCAAAGCACAGAGACAGCTGGAGACTAACTGGTGACCACTGTGGAGGATTTAGCAGCTAAACAGATGAAAATGGCACATGAGCACAAATAATCCTATAAAATGTCACATTCAAAATGGCATTTTACTTTTTTAATCACACCTGTATAACGAGGCTTTTCCTCTCTTCTTCCCATGTTTCTATCATTTCTTACACATATAAATTTGTCAAGTAACCATATGACTGACCGGTAGAGTCCTTGTGCTGCGTCCAGACACATACAAGCTTTCTTGAGCCAGGACAGTTTGCAGTCAGAGTCCAAAACCTGTCGGAGACTCCCCTTCTCACAGTACTCCATGATAATGAGGAATTCGGGGCTGGGTCCTGCAGACAGTGACAAGGACACCTCACATTACTAGAATTTTAAAGGTGCTGTGTGGCCGATGCTCCGTTACCTCCTGAAGCTCACTCACCGTCTTCATCCTGGATACAGATGCCAAACATTCGCAGGATGTTGGGCGACTCAAACCGCTTCATGGTTTCAACTTCCTTTGTGAAAATGTTTCGCACCTCCCTACATAACAGAAACATGTTTAGGTTGACAGGGAATATGTGACAGTTACAACATGTCTCATTTCATGTCTCATCTTGTCAGAGTCACCAGATCTTCTTTGCTGCACAAATTTGTTGTAAAAACCACCTGATCGTGTGAAGCTGCATGTTCGTGAGATTTTGCATAATCAGCGTCCCAAAAATCCCAGTTCCACTTTGTAGTAAAGTTTCATTCACTAAAATGTCAGACTAGAGTATAAAGTGGAACGTGAGAGAATGGAGCTGTCTGAAACCAGCAGCTGAACCAGAGTCAGTGTCACATTAGGTAATGTTCAGAAATGTTTTGCAGTTTTCGTGTTCAGACAGGCGCCTGACT